TCGGATGATGACGATGATGATGATGATGGTGATGATTTTGATGATGATGATTCGGATGATGATGATGATGATTCGGATGATGATGATGATGATAATGATGATGATGATGATGATTCGGATGAAGATGATGATCATTCGGATGATGATGATGATGATTATTCGAATGACGATTCGAATGATGATGATACGGATGATGATGATGGTGACTCGGATGATGATCATTCGGGGACGATGATGATGACTCGGATGCTGATGATTCGGATGATGATGATGATTCGGTTGATGGTGATGATGATACGGATGATGGTGATTCGGATGATGACAATACGTTGATGATGATGATGATGATTCGGATGATGATGATTGGGATGATGACTCGGATGATGAAGATTCGGATGATGTGGATGATGATTCGGATGATGATTCGGATGGTGATGAGGGTGACGATGATGATGATTGTGATGATGTTTAATCGGATGATGATGATGATGATTCGGATGATGATTCGGATGATGATGATGATGATTCGGATGAACATTTTTTAGATTCGGATGATGATGATGATGATTCGGTTGATGGTGCTGATGATTCGGATGATGATGATTCGGTTGATGATCATTCGGGGACGATGATGATGATTCGGATGATGATGTTTCGGATGATAAAGATGATGATTCGGATGATGATTCGGATGATGATGATGATGATGATGATTCGTATGATGATGATGATGATTCTGATGATGATCATTCGGATGATAATGATGATCATCCGGATGATGATTCGGATGATGATGATTCGGATGATGATGATGATGATTCGGACGATCGTGATGATTATACGGATGATTATGATTCGGATGATGATCATTCGTTGATGATGATTCGGATGATGATGATTCGAATGATGATCATTCGGATGATGATTCGGATGATGATGATGATGTTTCGGATGATGATTCGGATGATGATGATAATTATGATCATGATGATGATGATGATGATGACTCGGATAATGATGATGACGATTCGGATGGTGATTGGAATGATGACTCGGATGAAGATGATGATGATCCGGATGATGAAGTTGCTGTTTCGCATGATGATGATGATTCGGATGATAATGATGATGATTCCGATGATGACGATGATGATTCGGATGAAGATGATGATGATTCGGATGAATCGCCTGATGATTATGCAGATGATTACTCGGATGATGATGATGATGAATCGAATGATGATGATGACGATTCGGATGATGATGACGATGATTCGGATGATGATGATGATTCCGATGATGATGATGATGATGATTCAGATGATGATTCGGATGTGGATGAACCGGATGATGATGATGATGATTCGGATAATGATTCGCATGATGATGGTGATGATGATGCTCATTCGAATGATGATGATTCGGATGATGATGATGAATCGGATGATGATGATGATGATTCGGATGACGATGATGATGATGATGATTCGGATGATGATTATGATGATTTTTGATGATGATTCTGATGATGATGATCCGGATGAAGACGATGATGATTCGGACGATGATTCGGATGATGATGATGCTGATGATGACCATTAATCGGATGATGATGATGATGATTCGGATGATGATCATGATGATTCGCATGATGATGATGATGATAATGATGATGATGATGATGATGATGATTTTGATGATGATTCGGATGATGACGATGATGAATCGGATGATGATGATGATGATTCGGATGATGATCATGATAAATCGGATGATGATGATGATGTGGATAAGGATGACGATTCGGATGATGATGAGGATGATGTTGACTCGGATGATGATTCGATGATGATGAGGTTGATGATGAACATGATTGTGATGATGATTAATCGGATGATGATGATGATGATTCGGATGATGATTCGGGTGACGAGGATCCGGATGATGATCATTCGGTGACGAAGATGATGTCTCAGATGATTATTGGGATGATGATGATGATGATTCGGATGATGATGATTCGGATGATGATGATGATCATGATTCGTATGATGATGATGATGATTCTGATGGTGATTTTTCGAATGATGATGATGATCATTCGGATGATGATGACGATGATGATGATTCGGATGATGATGATGATGATTCGGATGATGGTGATGATGATTCGGATGATTATGATTCGGATGATGATCATTCGGTGATGATGACCCGGATGATGATCATTCGGATGATGATCATTCGGTGATGAGGATGATCATTCGGGTGATCATTCGGATGATGATTCGGATGAGGATGATGAAGATTGGGATGATGATTCGGATGATGATGATAATTATGATGATGTTGACGATGATGATGATGACTCGGATAATGATGTTGACGTTTCGGATGGTGATTCGATTGATGACTCGGATGAAGATGATGATGATTCGGATGATGAAGTTGATGTTTCGCAGGATGATGATGATTCGGATGATAATGATGATTCGGAATATGATGATGATGGTGACGATGACTCGGAGGATGACGTTGATGATTCGGATGATGATGATGATGATTCGGATGATGACGATGATGATTCGGATGTAGATGATGATGATTCGGATGAATCGCATGATGATGATGCAGATGATTACACGGATGATGATGATGATGAATCGAATGATGATGATGACGATTCGGATGATGATGATGATTCGGATGATGAGGATAATGAAGGTGATGATGATTCGGATGATACTTCGGATGAGGATGATGATTCGGATGAGGATGATTCGGATCATGATGCTGATTCCGATAATGATGATGATTCGGATGATGATGATGCGGATGATGATGATGATGATGATGATGATGATGATTCGGATGATGATTGGCATGATGATGATGGTGATGATGATGTTCATTCGAATGATGATGATTTGGATGACGATGATGAATCGGATGTTGATGATGATGATTCGGATGATGATTATGATAATTTTGATGATGATTCGGATAATGATGATCCGGATTAAGATGAGGACGATTCGGACGATGATTCGGATGATGATGATGGTGACGATGACGATTAATCGAATGATGATGATGATGTTTCTGATGATGATCATGATGATTCGGATGATGATGATGATGATGATGATGCTTCCGTTGATGATGATGTTTCGAATGATGATGATGATGATTCGGATGATGATGGTGATGATTCGGACGATGATTCCGACGATGCTTATGATGATTCGGATGATGATGATCCGGATGATGATGATTCGGTGATGATGATGATGATGATGATGATGATGATGATGACGATGATGATTAGGATGATGATGATGATGATGTTGATTCGGATGATGATCATTCGGTGATGATGATGATGATTCTGATGATCATGATTGGGATGATGATGATGATGATTCGGATGATGACGATGATGACGATGATGATGATGAGTCGGATGATGATTCGGATGATGATGATGATGGCTCGGATGGGGATGATGATTATTCGAAAGATGGTGTTGATGATTCTAATGATGATGATGATTCGGATGTTAATGATGATTCGGTTGATTATGAAGATGTTGATGATGACTCGGATGATGACGGTGATCATACGGATGATGATGAGGTATTCGGATGATGATGCTGATGATTCGGATGATGATGATGATTCCGTTGATGATGATGATTCGGATGATGATGATGCGGATGATGATGATGATGATGATTCGGATGATGATAATGATGATTCGGATGATGATGATGATGATTCGGATGATGATGATGATGATGATGACGAGTCGGATGATGATGATGATGATTCGGATGATGACTCGGATGGCGATGAACCGGATGATGATGATGATGATGATTCGGATGATGAGGATAATGAAGGTGATGTTGATTCGGATGATACTTCGGATGATGATGATGATTCGGATGAGGATGATTCGGATGATGATGATGATTCCGATGACGATGATGATTCGGATGATGATTCGGATGATGATGATGATGATGATGATGATGATGATGATGATGATGATGATGATGATGATGANGAGGATGACGATGATGAGGATGATTATTCGGATGACGATGAACCGGATGATGATGATGATGATGATTCGGATGATGATTGGCATGATGATGATGGTGATGATGATGTTCATTCGAATGATGATGATTTGGATGATGATGATGAGTCGGATGATGATGATGATGATTCGGATGATGATTATGATAATTTTGATGATGATTCGGATGATGATGATCCGAATAAAGATGAGGACGATTCGGACGATGATTCGGATGATGACGATGGTGACGATGACGAATAATCGAATGATGATGAAGATGTTTCGGATGATGATCATGATGATTCGGATGATGATGATGATGATGATGCTTCCGATGATGATGATGTTTCGAATGATGATGATGATGATTCGGATGATGATGGTGATGATTCGGACGATGATTCGGACGATGCTTCTCATGATTCGGATGATGATGATCCGGATGATGATGATTCGTATGATGATGATGATGACGATGATGATGATGAATCGGATGATGATTCGGATGATGATGATGATGGCTCGGATGGGGATGATGATGATTCGAAAGATGGTGTTGATGATTCTAATGATGATGATGATTCGGATGTTATTGATAATTCTTTTGATTATGAAGATGTTGATGATGACTCGGATGATGACGGTGATGATACGGATGACGACGATGTATTCGGATGATGATGCTGATGATTCGGATGATGATGATGATTCCGATGATGATGATGATTCGGATGATGATGATGCGGATGATGATGATGATTCGGATGATGATGATGATGATGATGATGAATCGGATGATGATGATGATGGTTCGGATGATGATGATGATGATTCGAATGATAAAGATGGTGATTCGGATGATTCGGTTGATGATTCGGATGATGATTCGGATGATGATGATGATTCGTATGGTGATTCCGATGATGATGAACCGGATGATGATGATGAAGATTCGGATGATGATTCGGATGACGACGATGATGATGATGATGATTGGGATGCTTATGATGCGAATGATGATGATGATTATCGGATGATGATGATGATGATTCGGATGATGATGATGATGATTCGGATGCAGATGATGATGATTCGGATGATGATGAGGATAATGATGATGATGATGTTTCGAATGACGCTTCGGATGATGGTGAATCGGATGATGATGATGATGATGATTCGGATGATGATCATTCCGATGATGTTGTTGATGATGATTCGGATGATGATGATTCGGTTGATGATGATGATTCGGATGATGATTCGGATGAAGATGATGCTGATTCGGATTTTACGGATGATGATGATGA